ATCCCGCCCTACCCCACAAGTAGGCTCAGGGCAGCCACAACATGTAAGAAACATAACAACATTAAAACATATAACCTAGACACAAGAAGAAGGAGGAGGAGGAGGAGGAGGAGGAGGAGGAGGATATTGGATTTATACCCCGCCCTTCACTTGGAGTCTCAGAGCGGCTTACAAACTCCTTTCCCTTCCCCTCCCCACAACAGACACCCTGTGAGGTGGGTGGGGCTGAGAGAACTCTGACACAAACTGCTCTTTTTCAAGGACAGCTGTGCCAGAGCTTGTGACTGACCCAAGGTCATCCAGCAGGTGCAAGTGCAGGAGTGGGGAATCAAACCCGGTTCTCCCAGATTAGAGTCCGCCCACTTAACCACTACACCAAACTGGAAATGTACTAAATAAGATTAAATGTAGGATGTGAGGCTCAGTGGAAGAGCCTTTGCTTTGTATGCAGAAGGTCCTGGGTTCAGTCTCTCACATCTCCAGCTTAAAGGATCAGGCCATAGGTGATGGGAAAGACCTCAGCTGGAGACCCTGGAGAGCTGCTGCCAGTCTAAGCAGACAGGACTGTCCTTGGAGGACTGCTCCTCTAATTCAGTACAAGGCAGCTTCATGTGTGTGCACAAGGATTCCACTTTAGGAATAGTCAGTGTTGGTTTTTCCCAGGGATGCTCTAGGCTCATCCTGCATTGAGCGCGCGTGCACGCACGCGCGCGCGTGTGTGTGTGTTGGACTCGATGGCCTGTATGGCCCCTTCCAATGCTATGTAAGAAGCAACAATTTTAAAGCATTGGGTACAGTTCATTTAAAAACATTTCAGAGTGTCTACATGAAAATTAAGTAAGAATCACTTTAAGCAAAAGGATTTGGGCTTTAAATTAATTTGCCTGGGGAAATGGTTAGGCAGCCTTTCCACTCTCCCTTTATACTGCATTGCTTATGATACTGCTTCTGTTCCATTGTGCTTTGGGTAATCCAGATTTACTGCATTTTCATGGCATGTGCAGCACTTTCTCACATTGTTTTTTTATAACAGTAATCCCCTTGGAGTCTCAATGAGAAAGGCAGATGATAAATGAAGTAAACAAATAAACACCCAGTACACAAACCTATTTAAGAGGCCAACAACAGTAATCATTCAGTATAAGAACAGTGGGGGGGGGGCACAGAAATAAAGCTGCTTTAGAAAAATAATTAAAGGGATTACATTAAAGGGAAGTGTTCTTGGGCAATTCTCAACGATCCCAGGGAGTAACCAGCAGCTGGTTATCAGGATATATATTTTTTTACCAGTAAGAGTAGTTCAGCTGTGGAGCTGGTTGCTTAGGGAGGTGGTGAGTTCTCCCCTTCCTGGCAGTCCTCAAGCAGCGGCTGGACAAACACTTGTCAGGGATGCTCTAGGCTGATCTTGCACTGAGCAGGGGGTTGGGCTAGATGGCCTGTATGGCCCCTTCCAACTCTGGGATTCTCCTTTTCCCATCTGACAGCCAAAGAACTCTTGTGTTTACAGAGGAGGTGGTAAAGTTTCACTAGGGATGGTATTATGTGAGAATCACGTGAGATAAGATGGCACCAGGTCCACAACGGGATCACTTGCTTTTTTAACAAGAGCTCATAACAGCTGAACACCCTCCCATTTAGACCAGAGGAGGGAAAGAATGAACCCTTTTCTCCACATTATAGGAAAGAAACTGCAATGGCATACTTATGCCTGAATACTCTTCCTGATGCCCTCAAAACCCCTAGTGTACTAGGGAAGAGGCTGGGGCCAGGCCCGTTCTTCCTGCACTGCACATCCAGGGATGTGTCATCTACAGCAACATCCGGTCACATGACCTCCCAGCCCCAAGCTGCAGCCCAATGCACTCCTGTGCTGACAAAGGTTTACTGACTACTCTTTGAGAACATTAGACTTTTGGTAGCAGTGGGGGGCTTCTCTGTCAGAGAGGAGGCACAGAATTCCCCAGCTTTGCCCTGCAACCCAAGCATCAGCTTCCCCATCAGGTACACCCACCAAGGCCACTTTCAGCTTAAAGGTAAAGGTAAAGGTTCCCTTGCTCGAAAGCCAGTCGAATCTGACTCTAGGGTTGCAGTGCTCATCTCCGTTTCAAAGCCGAAGAGCCAGCGCTGTCCGGAGACATTTCCACGGTCATGTGGCCGGCATGACTAAACACCAAGGCGCACGGAACGCTGTTACCTTCCCACCGAAGTGATACCTATTTATCTACTTGCAATTTCTTGCTTTCGAACTGCTAGGTTGGCAGGAGCTGGAACTAGAGACAGGAGCTCACCCTGTCTTGCGGCACCCGGGTCTTGAACTGCTGAACTACTGACCTTCCACAGCCTGCAGTTCAACGTCATAACCACTTGAGCCACCACAGCTCCCTACTTAGGGGCATTTAAATTGACTCCCCCCTATGGGACTCAATACCAAAAATGATTTTTTAAAAAGCAGTAGTGCTTTTCTCATTTGGGTGCAGATGAAGCCAGATGAAGAGCACGGCTCTTCAGAAAGCAAGTGGCTAGCTCCCTCTGCTGGCCAATGCTACCATGAGCACACAGCAGTCACCAGCTGCCATGCCTGTTTTAACCTAGCCAAAGCAAGTTCAGTGCATTCATTTTGTTTTAGCAGAGGCTCTGTGCTGCAGGCCTCTACTTTCACAGCCCAGGCAGGTGAGCACCAGAGACAGGGCTTTCTCAGCAGCAGCACCCAGTCTCTGAAACTCCTTATATTCACCTGTCATCCAGTTGACCAGTTTGTTGACATGAAATAAAGTCATGGGGGATCACCCTGCCCCTGTAGAGTTTTAGTAGTTGCCTCATCAGATTGGTATTCCCTGTCTATGGTGGCTGTTCAAAAGCTTTACACATCCTGTTTTGAACTGCTGGCTTCCCCCCCACTTTTCCTATCTCCATTCTTTTATTTTGCTTACGATTCTTGAAAACTTAAGCTGTGTCACTGAGCTCCCCACTGCTGCTAAGACGGTGGGGAGATCTCAGTTTGTGCCTGGATAGAGCTTTGGCCAGGGTCCCTGATCCACCCTGCTTCCAAAAGCCACCATTGAAAGCAACGGGAGAGCATACAGGTGGCAGTAGTCACACAGAACTCCCCTCTGCAGGGTATATTTGTATGGAATTTGCCCATATGTTGCCATCAACAAGGAAATATGGCTGTAAAGCAAAAATAAAGCAAAATCCATTCTTGATGCCTTTGACACAAGTATTCTCAGTACACTGAACAGTTCTCTGATCTGCTCCATGCTGTGCTGAAACTGGATGTCAAGAGTCCAAAAACTGGTCTCTAGTTTCTTTACACAGTATTAAAAACAACATTCTGTTATCTCCAACCACAGATTCACTCATCAACCACGTTCTTGGAAAAAAATGACCTTTATTGACAAAATTTCAAACTATGAAAAAATTACAGGATTTAAAAGAAATATCCATCCTGGCTGCACACAGTCTGGTTTACAATGAACCATCAGGAGAAAGAGTTTAGGTTAACAGTCACTTGAGAACAGAGACAGTAAGGAGTCTAAGCTGGCAAACCAAAGGGGAGTCGGCAGCAGAGAGCCACCTCCGCAACACTTGACCCACACACACACACCCAGCAAAGGCAGGCCCGGCAGAAGGGCTGGTGCATCTCCACTCCTCTTTGTAGCCACTCGATGCTGTTCTCAGTCCCTCGGGCTAAGCTAGCAAATGGCCAAGAGTGCTGATCACCTGTCGGCTGCCAGATTGCCTTCAGACTGGCTCTGGCTTCCACAGAAAAGCTCCCTGTTCCAGTTATTAGAACGTGAAACCAGGTGCAAAGCCAGCTCTGCCTTTGGCAGCTCCAGAAATCCAGGTGCATTTGTTTGTGCAGGTTATCAAATGTCTTGCTTTTCTACCCCTTCCTAAGAAGCCAAGCTTGCAGCTGTCCCCCAAATGCAGGAATTTTCCTTTTTTAACAACCTGGGCCCTGATTTCAGACAGTCACTCAGCCTGCCCTTGAAAAGAACAAGCCCCAGTTCTGCAGGGCAGGATAATAATGAACTTCCCCCAGAATAATTATTCTCAAATAAAGAAAGTGCCCTAAGCCACTCTTAAAAGCTTTTTTCCTCCTAGCATCCTGGGAATACTCAGAGCATGTCCTGTTGGGATCATACTTTGGGGCTCATGCTAAGCACTTGGCCTCATTTAGGCTGGGGGTGGGTGGGTGGGAGATAGAGGGGGCTCACTTTACCCTTGCCGGGTGTGTGGACCCAGCAGCAACCTTCAAAACCCACTGTGGTTTTGTGCTATAGAGGCCAGCCAGGAGTGTGAGCAGCTGCCATCTAGAATGACTCCCTCCATTCCCATGACCCAATTGTCCTGTTGCAAGCTCAGAAGACAGAAATCTCTCTAATGCAGCAGCAGGAACTGTGCGATGAATGGGACTGCTTCAGACTACGGGAGGGGGCGGAGGGAGGGGAACCTTAGCCACACAAAAATCCCCAGTAGTCAAAAAGCAGCATAGCAAGGAGTGGGTGGGAGTAAGTATTCTCTCTAGGGTTGCTGGTCTTCAGCTCCTAGGGAGAGGGGTTTCTTCTCCTTCAAAAATGCACCACATTCAGAACCAGGATTCGTCAGTCTCCTGTATATGAAGACCTCTGGATAGCTGTGCTGATGTGACCCAGGAAGATTCCACCCCCAACAAGGGGAGTATTTGGGAGTGATATCCGAATGTGCCTGCCGTAGCCCAGAAAGGCACTGCGTTTCTCTCCTTCTCTTGCCCAAAAGGAGGAAGGAAGGGCGTGGGGTGGGGTGGGGAAAATAAGGCTTTCTCTCTTGCATTGTATCTTTAAATAGTGTCCAAGCGCAAAAAGGCACACAGAGACGGCTTTAAGGCCACGTAAGAAAGGGGGAGGCGGAGGGTTTTTTCCCTTTCGACCCTAGGCCCCAACCCAACTCAAATTTTGGCAACGACGAACATGTATTGCCCATTAACGTGTTAGCTTAATACTGCAAACGCGTGTTGCCCATTAACGTGTTAGCTTAATACTGTTAGTGGACGGCACAACCCCAGCCTCAGGGAAGCCCTGTCCAGAGCACCTGAAAGCTCTACGGGAACCCGCTGGTCCCAGACTTTGGGACAGGAGCAGAAGTGAAAGTCAGTATCTGGCTCACTTCTCGAGGACATATGAAACAGCCCCAATATCATCTGTTAAGACAACACCTTTAAAACAACACTCCACCACACCTAGCGATGGATAACATGGATCGGTTTCCAACTCTTATCAACAACAAAAGATACCTCCCCACCACCTAAAACATCTCCAGGCTTGATTCTCAGTCGGGAAAGCTCAGTACTGAAATGTGCAAAATAGGAGACTCTCCCCCAGAACCCACCATGGATAGAAATCCTCCTCCTTTGCTCCAGATGCAACACGATTAAAGGACCGAAGGGGCTGAAAGGCCAAGAGCTGTGCTGGGTAATACTGACACTGGCCACAGTTAGCCAGGTTCTGGAAAAGTATCCAAAAGCAAGCACGGACTCCCCCTTTCTGGGAAGCAAAGAACAGCCCACCCCCAATATGCTCTGCATGGAACGGACGGCTCTCCAAGAAAAGAAAAAGGCGGTGGGCTGGCTCACGCCGAGGAGTGCTTCCTTCCTTGAGTCAGGAACACCGCTATCAAGCACGGCTGGGGCATTTTCCGCTGGCTTGCTTTCTCTAGTAGGCACTGGAGGCATGTCAAGGCTGTGCCAAACAGCTATCTCTGGCTCTCCTGCCGTTTCTGGAGCACTTCCGTGACGTGGTCAATGCCTTCCTCTGGGACCTACAAGAGGGAGGAACAGGGATGGGCCCTTTGCAATAACCAGTGTTTACTTTTCCAAATTCCAGACTGCCCTTTCACCTTCTCCCGAGTTGTGCCACCACTGTACGCTGCGGTTGCCAAGCTGTCTCTATACAATGGAGCGTTGCTGCTTTTTAAAAGTTATTTGGACACCTTTAATAACTCCCACGATGTCTCAATCTTCAGCTTCAAAGCTGAGACAGCAGCAGCCAGTGTTCCCTCTAAGCTGAGTTAGTGTGAGCTGGCTCACGGTTTTTTAGCCTCCGGCTCACAGATTTTTGTCTTAGCTCAGGAAGGACGGCTCCAGAGCAAAGCAATTGATGCAGTAGCCAAATCGCTTGCTCACAACTTTCATGCCGGTAGGACACAAAGTGGAATTTTTGCTCACAAGACTCAACAGCTTAGAGGGAGCATTGGCAGCAGCCATGTGATTTTTTTTAAAAAAAGGTTTTAAACTTCAGCAGGGCGTAGGAGGGACAGTCCAAGCAGAAGTGCAGGAACCTGCTGCAGTCAAGATCTCTGCTTGTCCCAAGAGACTGGCCCTCCATCACCCTCCAAGCAAAGAAACTGACAACTCAATTCCTTCCCATTATTACACAAATGAATTCCACACTGGCTAGGTCAGGAGGGAGGGAGAGGCGGTGCCATTTGTTGCCGCCAAGTACCTGGCTGGCCCAGTCTAGCCTGATCTCGTCAGATCTTGGAAGCTAAGCAGGGTCGGCCCCGGTTCGTACTTGGATGGGAGACCACCAAGGAATTCCAGGGTTGCTATGCAGAGGCAGTCAATGGCAAACCACCTATGAACATCTCTTGCCTTGAAAACCCTACAGGGTCACCAATGTTCCCTCTAAGCTGTGGAGTCTTGTGAGCAAAAATTCTACTTTGCCCCCCCCCCCCGAAGGCTGTTGAGTGACACAGAACTGAACTTAGACCAAATCAATAAGCCTTAACATAGATATAAGGAGCAGTGGCAGGAGGGGGCGTGAGATTGGTGCATGTGTCTGTGTGTGCGTGTGTAAAATGCCATCAGGTTGCAGCCAAGTTATGGCAACCCTGTGGGCCTTTCAAGATAGTTCTGATCCTTGCGTAGTCCCCCCCCTCCCCCGAAAACTCTTGAGTGACACAGAACTGAACTTAGACCAAATCAATAAGCCTTAACCAATGCTCCCTCTAAGCTGTGGAGTCTTGTGAGCAAAAGCTCTGCTTTGTGAGCTACTGGCATTAAAGTTGTGAGCAAGCGACTGGGCTCCTGCATAAATTAAGTTTGATCTGGAGCCGTCCTTCCTGAGCTGGGACAAAAATGTGTGAGCCAGAGGCTAAAAAATTGTGAGCTAGCTCACACTAGCTCAGCTTAGAGGGAACATTGGCCTTAACATAGATATAAGGAGCAGTGGTAGGAGGGGACGTGAAATTGGTGCATGTGTCTGTGTGTGTAAAATGCCATCAGGTTGCAGCCGAGTTATGGCAACCCTGTGGGCCTTTCAAGGCAAAAGGCTAACAGAGATGATCTGCCATTGCCCTCCTCTGTACAGCGGCCCTGGCCTTCCTTGGTGGTCCCCCATCCCATTGGCGGCACGGCTGACTTACCAAGGCATGGTCAAAGTTGAAGGTGCTGATGTAGTAAGCAGATATGTCCGCATCGGCCAGAGGCTCTGCAATCTGAGCCACGATCCCACATTCATCTGCAGGAGAAACAGGAGAGGGGAAACCCCCGAGCATATGATCAGTATGCCCCATTCCCTTTTATATCTCACAGGAGTGAATGCTACTTAGGAGCATGTATGAAGCATTCTGGACATGCCACTTCCATGCAGCACTGAATGCCTCACTACTGGCACTATCACTCACTAGGAAAAACTGAGCTTAGAAACTGAACAGCCTGCACAGAATGCAGACATCCACTTACCAAAGCCCAAGGGCTGCCCGCCGATTCTCACCATCCTCCAGAGCTCCCCTGAGGAGCTGGTCAACAGGAGATCACTGGGAAACCTGGGAGAGAAGTGAAAGATTTTGAGATGTGACACAGCTGGCTGGCACCTCCCCAAAGAGGGACATCTGAGCAAACGAGACTCCTTGCCACTCCATGCTGCACAACCGCGGCTACACTCGGACTGAGAGCTGTATTCCCGTGTCCTCCAGGACACTACAAAGGATTCTGGGTGCACTGATCACAGGCACAGATAGTGTAACCCCGAACCTCTGATCAGATTGTCTGTGCAGTCCGTCTAGCCTCGCACCCAAGGGGAAAGCATCAGCCCAAGCCGAGCTGAACCCTTTGTGGTTTATGCTCTTCCAGCCAGTATTTAGTCAAACACAAAAACAGGTCAGTTTCTCCCAGTGCTGACACCTAATTAAATAAACTGTAGGCAGTTCATTGTATCAGTTGTCAACAATGACACCCATGGACACACAGCCGTTCTGTGTGGGTTGAGTTGAAGCAGGTGCCATCTTAGAGGAGGCCTTCCTTCCGGTTCATGAAGGTGCTGGTGGAATGCCTCTTCAAAGAGGGTGCCTGCCAACCTCTATTTCTGTATTTTAGTTAGGGAACTCTATGAAAGTAATTGAAAGATCCTCTGCCCCTATTAACTGGTGGTCTAATTTTAAAGGGAGCAAACAGATTTTAGCCAATTAATCTAGCTGATGAATTGCAGCCTTAGATTACCCACACCAGTGTCCCCTCTAAGCTGAGTCAGTGTGGGCTAGCTCACAGGTTTTTAGCCTCCGGCTCACACATTTTTGTCTTAGCTCAGGAAGAATGGCTCCAGAGGAAACTAATTTATGCAGTAGCCAAATTGCTTGCTCATAAGTTTAATATCAGGAGCTCACAAAGTAGAATTTTTGCACACAAGACTCCACAGCTTAGAGGGAGCATTGACCCACCCTGGGACTATTTCACACCAACACCCTCACAACAGCAAGGAAGCTACCACTAGCACAAAAGTAGGACATGTGGAAACCATATTTGTTTTGTTACTAGATTTCAAGAGGGTCACACTGTTGAGTGACTCTCTAGATGTGCTTCCCGGCAGGCTAAACTGCCCATTCAAATGCGATGTCCTCAACAGTTCACTAATATTAAGGAGAGGAAACCTTGATCAGTTTTATACCTTTAGACTATGCATTCTGCAGTATTAGGACACCGCAGGCAGAACCTTTACAAAAAACGGAGTCTGCTTGTACGATGCCAGTGTTCCCAGGGACCTCTGCCCCTTATATAATACTGTAACAACAGGTTTCTTTAGAGGGAATCTCTGCTGACAGACCAAGTCTACACCTAACTAAGGTTTTACCGAGAAACCAATTACCACATGCTTCTGAAAAGCCCACTTGCTCTTTGTATTAGAGCAGTTTTGCAAAGGTAGTTGGTGACTTGTCTGGGCAGCAGTTCTCAAACTTGTGGCAGCAGGACCCAAACAAACTTTACTTCTCATGACCCAGCAGGCAAAAGAATTCCAGGCTATGCTTCCCCACGCTAGCCTAAAATGCATGAATCTCTTCAGTCAGCACTGAACAAGGGCATTGTTCGTTTTTGGCATTTACACACGGACAGTACCATTCAGCAGCAGGATCTATTTTAATTTATAAATAATTAAGTACATCATTTGTACAATACAAACATTAATTTAGCAGAAATCATTCATTACATAAGCATAACAGTTCAACATAAATCCTTTCAAAGGCTCACAGAGTCCAGAAGTCATCTAACTCCTCCTGCTTATGCTTATGTCCACAGGGCCTGCAAGACGGAGCTCTTCCGCCAGGCCTTTGAGGGGGAGCCGCCGCCGACACTATACCACCACTGAATTCCAACCATCTACCTCATATGATGGGGGTAGATGTCGCCCAACAGAGCCGGGGAAACACTTCTCCTGGCGCTCATGCTATGAAGAACTTGGCCGCCAGTGTGGGACGTCGCGCATCTTGGTTTTTATGTAAATTATTAGAACACCAAATTTTATGTAGGATACATGGTTTTATTATGCTGTATTGTTGTAGGCATATTTTAACTTCGGCATGGCCGTCTGTTAGCCGCCCTGAGCTGTTGGATAGGGCGGGATATAAATCCCCAAAATAAATAAATAAATAAATAAATAAATAATGTCATGAATGATTTTTGCTGAATTAATTTTTATATTGTAGTAAATGATTTTGGTTCCTTGATCATCACAGAACATTATCAACGTAATCCGTGTTAACGCCATGCACACTTTTCCTTCCCCCTTTTTCCCTATATATACCGCGTGTCTCATTGCTATTTTGGATATATTTTAATGGCAACTCCTCAGGAGCAGATCCAGCTTTGCCATCAAGCCCTGCAGAGCCTCCTCATCCCGCTCACCCTCTTCTTTGTCCTTCTTCCTGAGCTGGCCAGCCACCTGCTTTTGGGTCCCAACCCACAGTTTGAGAACCACAAGGCGTTTTTTTTTTTTTTGGTGGACTTTTAAATTTAATGAACTGGTCTAAGTCAATTTCATCTCACCTTTTTTATTTTTAGTGTATGAAGCTGTCAGACCGGCAGGTATGGATGCGCTGTTTTAATGTCACATGCAGACACAGATGTGCTTCCGTGAAATACTGCTCTAACCACACCTAATA